TTGTGAAAAGTGCAGTAATATATCTTGGTCTAGAGCGGGGACATGTTATTCTGGAAATACCACTAGCTAGCTATTTTTCAGCTTTGCTCTTCTTTATGGGCAGGGAGGAGAATTAAGATATTGGAAGTCCATGTTTTGGACTTTTAACATGAGTGAGATATCTTAAAATTGCTTGAATGAACTCCCACTGCACTTGATCTTTGTTATTCCTTCCCTTTGCGGGATTTTGTTTTGGTTGCATGTAAACTGTATAAATTCAACCACACAAAACAAGAACAATCACTAAAGTTAGAAAGAGCATATAGAAAATTTGATTAACATTTTAAAAAATAAAAAACTTCTATTTAAGTACTTACCTTTTTTGCTTCATCTTGAGCACAAACTAAAGAATCCTCTTTCCAAGAACCAAGAACAAGCAGAGTATGCTTTTCAACCTCCCTTAAAAGTTGATTCCTGAGCCTAGCATTGCTCAAAAAATTCAGAGAAATCATTCTCATATCTCTATGCATTTGTCCAACTTGAACTAACATAGACCATTTTCCAAGAATTCCACCTATACTTTTAGGGTAACTACACTCAAACAATCTGCCTTCATTTTGCAAAATGTATCTATTCAGCCCTGCATCTGCTGAAACTATTGTTGGCTCCCCAAACAAATTTGACTTATAAATTTTCCCATACCTACAAGTTTTTTTAAGTGTTCAGAACATACAGATTTTCAAGGTTTTAGTTTATCCAAATTTAATTAATTACCTTGAGATGTGATGTTGCATGAAATCTCCAATAGTGGTAGCTGAATAAGGTACCAGTGATCTCACATCTAAATTGAATCTGCAAAATAAACGTTTGATTTCCTTACAAGATGGTTGATGGGCACGTTATTCAACCACTTGTCATTGACAATGGAGCTAAAATGAGTTGCTCTGTTAAGCTTTTAGTATTTGATCACTTTTTTTAAGTGTGAGAATTAATCATCTCTAGACTTGGGGGTTTCTATTGTGTTTTCTTACCTAGTTGAAGTTTATGAAGTTAGGTGTTGAATTATTCAATTCTAACTCTTCGTGTGTTTTTTCCACTTCTCTTTTGTGGATTACAAGGTATTGGGACATCCGCCACCGTGCAAAATGAGGACCTTGAGGAGATGCGGCGAACAATTCAACAACTTTCTAGGAATTGTGCCGATGAACGAGAAAAAACAAAGCATGAAGAGAAGATTAGAGACGCACTTAGGAATGACATTGAGTCCCTCAAGGCTCAAGTGAATCACTTAATCGGCTTGCCCCGCTCTCCGCCAAAAAGAAGTCGACGCTCTCTGCCAAAAAGCCGTATTTATGAAGAGGATGAAAGTGATGGAAATAATACAAATGATGAAGAAGATGAGGGGGAACCCGAAGATGAGTGATTTTATGTTTGGTTGGATTGTTGTTTAGTTGGATGTTAACTTTGAATGTTATGTTTTGATGTTTGGTTGGATAGTTTTGATGATTGATGGGATAATTTGGATGGTTGATGGGATAATCTGGACGTTTAGATATAGTTTATAAAGTGTTTTTGTTGTTAAGTTGAGTTTTATTGTGGTTGCATTTTAGTTTGTATTGTAATATTCTGTTGGCAGGTGGTGCAACAAAAAATAGGCACCGCTTGCCAAAAATGTACCAGATTTACCGAGGGACTTACCGACAGAGTCCATTGGAACAATTATTCATTTTCAATCCAGAATTTTTTAATTAGCGAGGGAGTTTGTCGGTATACTTGAACCAAATTTTCAAATTTTATTGAAAATACCGACGGATAGCAATCGAAAAATGAATTTATTCATATTTTTAATTTTTATATTACTAAATTATTATTTTTATTTACCGACGGATCTCCGTCGGTATAGATATTTTTATTATTATATTATTTTATAATATACCGACGGATATCCGTCGGTACGTAAAATTATTTGACCAGTTGTCCTCAGAAATGTACCGATGGCATTCCGATGGGGTCCGTCAGTACTTATTTACCTAGGAAGGATTAACCTACCAACCACTTACCGACGAATATCCGTCAGTAAAGCCTGGTTACCGACGGAGATCGGTCGGTAACTTGCGTCGGTAAACAGGTGATTTTTAGTAGTGAATTTGGTCGCTAAATTTATATTATTAAAATAATAAAGCGACCAAAATTTATATTATTAAAATAATAAAGCGACCAAAGTTGGTCGCTATATTGTTTATCCGGAATATTTGGTCCTTTTACCTTAGAGACCAAAGTTGGTCGCTAATTAGCGACCAACTTTGGTCCCTAAGGTAAAGGTACCAGCATAATATCGACCATGCCTGTTTGGTTGCTTTTTGGTCGCTTTTTGACCTGTAAGCGATCACTTTGGCCGCTTTTTGTTGTCGCTTTTTTCCGAATTTTTAGTAGTGATAGTAAAATCCAGTACCCTAGGATTCCCACAGAATCCATAGTCTCCCTCTGTTACTTGCTACATAGTTGTCCGTCCACTTCCAAATCCTAGTACTTTTGAATAATCTTCCTTGCCATAGGCTGCTTCACCTTGTGCTCAACTATTGCTATTAAAACTACTTTATTTTCTCTAATATACAAATTTCGGACTATTAGTAATTAGTGGGGGTAACTAGAGGTAGTCAGGTAGACATGGGGTATATATAACAATATTTAAATTTTTAATTTTTAATTTTAGCTTTAATGATACGTTTTAAAGCTAAGATTATAAATTCAAAAGCTTTTTTTCCTTTGGTAAATTTGGTTTTCAGCATAAAATGAGGGATTTTTACACAAGTAGTCACCCGAATTCACTTTTTGATTTTTCTAGCCAGTATACTTGGATTATACACATTATACACCATTATTCACTCTACTAAAATTCTAAAATGAAACGGGTGTGTACTTATCTTATACGGTTAGGTGGATAAAGTTAGGAACTTTGACAAAAATTCTCCGTACACAAAATATACTACTAACTTTTAACTAAATTTGCACATCCGATGGAAAAGGGAGAATTTTCATACAAACGACGTGGAATCCATGCACGTCCAACTGAACAATTATATTGTTCTCTGTGCGCCCCCCAAGTTTTTACATGGAAATTGTGATTGATAAAGGTTAAATAAGTGGTTTGATGCAAATACTGCGTAATTTTTTTTCGTCTTGAAATTGCAAAGGAACGTACTGACTTCGATCATATACATAGTACACATTCCAACCTACAAGCATTGATCAAGCTTTGAGTTTTCACAGATGGGTATGCCTTTAACATTTTTTGATGCTCTGATCCATTTCCAGTACGGCTAATTCTTGCAATTTCCACAATTTGCTTTCTGAAACCCCCAATTTTAATGATCTGCTTCTAATGTCGACGCCATTAATTCGAATTTGTAATTGCTGTTTATAGATAATCCAATGTTAGTTAATTGTTCTTGTGTTTTTATCATTTTCTCCCATGGGTTAGTTGTTTTTTTATTGGCCTATGTGTTGCAACTATAAAGAATAATATTTTATATATTGCATGGTGTTTTGGATCATTGATTTATGTAAAATTGATCATGATTTGTCAAACTTAGTGGGTTACCTTCAATTATTGATTTTTCTTGTGGCGAAGTGCAACTTGGGTAAGGCAGGGGCAGCGATTCTGAAATACCTTTATTTGATGATTTAGTGAATGTAATTGCGTTGCATCTCGTGCATGTTTTCCCGTGGGAATGTTTGAATGCTGAAGTAATTCCTAGAATTCTTATAGTTTTTTGTTATTATATGTGTGGCCTAGTGGTCGATGAATTGGGTGAGGACCGTGAGGTCTTAAGTTCAAATTCCAGTAGAGGCAAAAACACTAGGTAATTTCTTCCAATCTGTCCAAGCCTTGGTGGACGGAGTTACCTGTTACCAATCGCTGATGGGAGGTGGCAAGTATCCCGTGGAATTAGTCGAGGTGCGAGCAAGCTGGCCCGCACCACGGTTATCAAAAGAAATAAAATTGTTGTCGGACTGGGCAAGATGATCACCATATGCTTTGGGGATTGTTTCCGTTCGCCAACTAGTTGCATAAGGATGATAACATAATAAGGGTTGTTATTACAATATGAATATTGTTAGTGACTAGGATAGCAAAAGGATTAGTCTTACTAATTAGCGTGTATGAACATGTGTTAGTAAGGAACTTTTAGATAAAAAATTGTTAAGATTTTTACTAGTATATAATATCCATCTCCTTATTTTTAAAAGATTTTATTTATATTTACTAAGACAATGTCTTATTAAGAGTGTTTTCTATTATTTTAGGTGCTCATATCTTTGTATTGCAAATGCATGTATTATCGCTCTGATATTTTATCTCGTATAAGTATGGAAGAGATTTATGCATAAGTATGCGATAGTACTTATGCAGGAACAGCAATGGTAACCAAACGCAACATTAGAAATGTGGATTTTTATGCTGGGAACCAAACATTGTATTAGCAACGTAGAGTTCTATGTCGTAGTTATTTTTTACGCGATAAACCAGATAAGTCCTGAATGTTCTTGTTTACTTTTTTCCTCTCTCCAAGTAAAGAAGGGGCTTGTGTGTGGTTGGTGTGCCGATAGGGGGGGGGGGGTGTATACAGTGGCGAAGCTAGGAATTTCTCCAAAGGTATTCAAATTTTAAAAAAGTGAAAAAATATATGACGAAGGGTGTTCGATATGTGTTGTATACCTCTAAAACGTAATATTTTACCTATGTACACAGTGCAATTTTTCGAACGAAGGGTGGCTTCGCCACTGGGTGTATACATTGTTTGAACTGATAAAGAAAATAGCATAAGTTTATTCCCATTTATGGAGAGAGCACTTTCTTACGTTCGAGCTTCTCCAAGGTCTTCAGCTTTTGGATGAAGTTTCTTTTCTCTTTTCTATCTTACTATAAGGAATTATGATACCCTGTAGTTTGACTTGTCTCCAACTAAGGATGCTGGCACAATGCAAGGCATGCATCTTTAGAGCTGACTTTATAACAAATGCTTTCAGATAAAAGTGATGGATGTTGTTCCACGCACCTTATTGATGGAGATGGGGTCTTCAATGTTGCTGGAGTTGAAAATTTTATAAAGGAAGTTAAACTGGCAGAATGTGGTCTTTCATATGCTATAGTATCCATTATGGGCCCACAAAGCAGCGGTAATAATTCTTTCTAGATAAATCCAATTTTCTATCATCCATTTTCCAGTTTGTAATCTACTAACTTAAATTTATCTTGTTGTTCTGTATGCTTAAATGAGGATTCGCTTACTGCTTCATTTGAGCTCTATATATCATGTTAGTTAACTCTTACTAGATGCTATATTCTGCTTTCCATTCCTGACAAACTTCAAATGAGATTATGCCAGGGAAAAGTACACTGTTAAATCATCTATTCAATACTAACTTTAGAGAGATGGATGCTTATAAAGGAAGGTATGGATTAGTGATTTAGCTTATTATAGTAATTCTGTGTATCCTATTGAAAGTGAGCATTATTGATATTTTTTTTCAGGTCACAAACCACGAAAGGTATATGGATGGCTCGATGCGTTGGGATTGAGCCATGCACCCTTGTTATGGATTTGGAGGGTACCGATGGGAGAGAGCGCGGAGAGGTTTGTTGAAATGACTTTGTAGATGATGATTTACTTTCCCATACTCGTTGCATTGCTTGGTTTCAATGTTAGTTCCTGTGGCTGTTTATATATAAAGCAACTTATGTGTTTCTCCCGAAGTGTTTAAAATGTATTGCATCCTAATATGGACACTGTTTGTCCATTTCTTCCTTGTTTTATTGCTTTTATACGTTAATATATCCTACTACTTTCTGTATAAAGTGATCTGCTCTAATTTAGTATCCAAAATCTTCATAGCTTCCTTAATTCCTTTTTTCCGCCTTCCACTATGCTTCACTGAGATAACTTTGGAACAATTTTCTATGATTTGCTTGTCTGTGAGATACTTAGCTTTCCACCTTCCCTGATCTCTCTGTCAATGTACTCATATCTGTGTTCAAACCTGTCATGGATCCATTGTTAGTTGTATTATATTGGTAATTATCAAATTTCACTGATTGCTTTGTACCACCAAGTTTCCTGCTACCAATGTTCATCTAATGCTCCCTGCTTATTCAGTTTTGATGCTTTGTTTAGGATGACACTACATTTGAGAAGCAAAGTGCCCTATTTGCCCTTGCTGTTTCTGATATAGTGCTAATCAATATGTAAGTTCCCTTTTAGTGTGTGAATTACATGTATCTAAGCTAAATCGATACCTTAAAAAGAATCCAAATGGACAAGTTGTTTAAAAGTTTCAAATACAGGTGGTGTCATGATATTGGCCGTGAGCAAGCTGCTAATAAGCCTCTTCTGAAGACTGTTTTTCAGGTACAATACAAAGTGTTGTCTTGTCTGAATATTCGGTATCACTTTTAAACTGCTTAATCTTAACAGGTTATGATGCGGTTATTTAGACATCAACACCCCACACTTAGACTCTTGCTCGTCCTCGAGTAAGCGTTAAAAACTCTCTCAATTAATCAAGCCTAGAAACACCACCACTACGGTTGGTACTAACAATTAGGCCCTATAGCAACTCAAACCATCAGATATACACTTCCTCATCATCGTNCTTTTTGAATTTCCCATAATATTTGATAGACTCCGCTTGAAAATTTGGAGCCTGTTCTAAGAGAAGATATTCAGAAGGTACCATATGCATGTTTCTTCATAATATACATAATATTGTAGACTCAATTATTTGGTTCTTATTCGCTTCCCTTTGACTGTAGATATGGGATTCCGTCCCAAAGCCGCAAGCTCATGAGGAAACACCTTTAAGTGAATTTTTTAATGTAAGTCTCTTAAGTTAAGCCTTCTTATTAGCTGGTTTTCTGACTTAAAGTTAAGAGCTCTGTAGCCTTCTTATTAGCTGGTTTTCTCTAATGCATATGCATGTAATGATATTGATCGATATGTGTCCAGGTTGAGGTTGTTGCACTTTCTAGTTATGAAGAGAAGGAAGAGCAATTCAAAGAGCAGGTAGAGACAAATCAATTACTGGAACTTCGTTGATCGTTTTATTCTCTCTCTCTCTGTCTCTCTCTCTCTCTGTCTCTCTCTCTTTTATTATTTTAAATCTGTTTACTTCGACATATAGTGTTTTCCGACATACTCGAATAATCAACTCTTTTGTTTAGTGAGCTTTGGGTTTAGATTATGTTTATGCTTGTTATCCTTGTAAAGGTGGCTAGTCTAAGACAGCGATTCTTTCATTCTATTGCACCTGGGGGTCTTGCTGGAGATAGGCGGGGAGTTGTTCCTGCTTCTGGTTTTTCGTTTAGTGCACAGCATATGTGGGAGGTTATAAAGGAGAACAGGGACCTTGACCTCCCTGCCCATAAGGTTATGTCCCCTGAATCTGCTCAAGTGAAGTTTCAGTTGATCATTTATATCCTCATTGATGTGCTTGTCGTAATCTAAGTGCAGGTTATGGTAGCTACCGTGCGCTGTGAAGAAATCGCCCATGAAAAATATGACTCTTTCACTGCAAATGAGGTATTTGCATTTTATTAATTTTCTTAGTGAATTACACAGTTTTTTCTTTTTTATTGACCTATTTTGAACAGCGGTATTTAATTATAGGTAATGATTAATCTTTTGTTATAGGAGTGGTGTCAATTAAAAGAGGCAGTGCAATCTCATCCTGTGGGTGGCTTTGGGAAGAAGCTTAGCTCCGTTTTGAACGCATGTTTATCAGAGTAAGTACACCTATCTCATACATTATAGTATGCATGCTTTATAGCTTTATGGATAAATCTTTTCATACATCGACACGATTTCGCTCAACTTTCTCCTTCTTTCTTATACACTCCAAAGTAGCTGTACTACATTTCAGATACCAAATGACGTTTGAGAGAAGTATCTTTATGTCTGTAGTGAAGCATACCCATATGGTGATGTTTTTTAAGTCTATTAAGCAAAGTTGGACTGGCAGAATTCATCTTCACATAGGCATAATTCTACACTCTTCTTCCTTGAAATACATTTTATAAGCCTGTATGCATATTGTCAATATTAAGCACATATGCACCAGGGCTATAAGATTTTTTCCTTTTCAGATATGATGCAGAGGCTACATTCTTTGATGAAGGAGTGAGATCTACAAAACGAAAGCAGTTGGAAGAGAAATTGCTTCAGGTAAGTTAGCTAGACAATGCTCTCCCCTAAACTTGTTTCCCTGTATACACCTTTGTATATACGCTGAATTCACCTTTCTACCTTTGATTATTTGACCAATAAAACTTGGTGGATTCCTTTCGTTTGATGCCAGCGACTAGGACTTCCTAGACCCAACGAATTCAGTGCTAATTTAGAAGTTACTCCCTGAACTGCTGATGTCATTTCATTTTCCCTCCCAGTAGAAAAATTTATACTACCTACATTGAGTTTATATGAAGGTGTTTGACTAGGCACATTTAAGATAATCATCTTGACTTTTGTGTTATAGAAGTGGAAAACATAGCAAAACCATGGTAGAAAGTTAGTTTGATGGAGAAAACTTCGCATCAAAGTTTTAAAAACTCTTCCATGAGTTTCATCTGCGTTCCTAACAATTTTCCGTTATTTTCTGCATTCGAATGTCACTGTGTTGATATGAATGTCCGAAATGGAGAGAATTTTTGTTTCATTAAAGTACTGAATTTAGAGACCAAACTAAGAAATCCTGATGACAGACTTTGATAGTATATGTACTTTCTACTGAGGTGTCTAAGTTGTGTAGTGGTGGTAGTTGTATATTGATACTGGAGTTTATCCCTTAGAACGATGTATCAACTACGTGTTATTATACCTATACAATAATGATTCTCATGCAGCTATGGTGATGATTGCTGTAATATGCAACTTGATGCAGGGGTAATGCTGCAAACATCATGTTCCCTCTGAGCTGGGCATGTTTTCTAACCAAGAAAAGATACTTTCTAACCTTGTTATTAATTCTTTTTTCTGTTGTAGCTTGTCCAACCAGCCTACCAATCTATGCTGGGACGCATACGATCTGATACTTTGGAAAGATTCAAAGAAGCATTTGATAAGGAACTGAAGGGAGGTATAGGGTTTGCAATGGCCGCTCATGAGTGCACTGTGTCTCTTATGTCCCAGTTTGATGAAGAATGCGCAGGTACAGGATATAACCTGCCCTTTCTGTAACCCCACTTGATTTAATCTATTCGTGAGACAAGATCATATTAACTGTCAGTACTGATCATGTTTACCAGGGGTGAGTGACACAGAAATACAACCGCTGTTGCTATATGATAAACTTGCAAAACTGACTAATCTTTAGCAAATAGAGTGCATTATAATTTTTCTTCTAAAGATCTTGCTGAACATTGTTGTTGGGCTAAAACGGCCTAAAAATACTCTTAACATGGTGTGATACTGTCCGCTTTGGGCCAAGTCTGCATGGTTTTTTTCCAAGGACCTCACACCGTTAAGAGTATTCAACTCATTATAAGTAGCTTATTTTTCTTTTCTACTTTCCACGTGGGACTTTGTTCATACACACCAAACAATTGCGTCAACAAAGTGGAGTAAGACAAGCATTGGTGACTGATAAATTGTGCCGATCGTAAAGAATGGGGAGCGAACAGGATTAGATACCCTGGTAGTCCATGCCGTAAATGATGAGTGTAGTTCGCCCTTGGTCTACGCGGATCAGGGGCCCAGATAACGCGTGAAGAACCTTTTCATAGAGGAGAGCGATAGGCCGGTTTGAAGAGCAAGCTTGAAAATAAATGGAGAGGCCATTCATTCATAGCAGAAAAGTGCTCACTAACTCGTATCTGAAAAGGCAGGCGGGGGGGAACATTGATTGGTTTATTGGCAAAGGAAACCCGGGAATTCAAGATTTTGTTCTGTCCTCCGGACATTTATTATGCTGTCACTACTGCTTGTCAATTTGAATTGCATCAAAGCTCTCGTTCGAACTTCATATACGAGAATCTAAACAACGAGCTACCATAGATCCCTCACCGACGAATAGCGTACTTTCCTCTTAGAATATCCCTTGAATAATCGGATGAACCACTTGAGCCTCCTATTTCACAGGTTGAGCTTAGTCCCAGCAGATTGCTCTTTGAAACTTGTAGGCTGATACATTATTTTGCAGATGCTGTTATTGATCAAGCAAAATGGGACTCATCCAGAGTTAGGGATAAGCTCAAGCGTGATATAGATGCTCATATTGCTGAAATTCGTACTGCCAAGCTGGCTGAAGTTACTACTCTTTACGAGGTACGATGTTAGTGACCTATATATTTTAGTCCTTTTGTAGTACGTATAAAAAATTATTGAAACTTGGTTTTATCATTGGCTAATGTTAGATACTAGGATTTTGAGATCGAAGTAATCTGGCTTTTGCTGGAATAAAAGTTCAATATGACAAAACATTGTCACCTAACAGCTGAACGGCTCTTACAACATTCATGATGTCAATAGATATTTCCTTGTTATAATTGGATCTTTCGAGATTAACTGTATCTTTAAATGTAGTTACACTGGCACTGAAGTTTCTCGAGTTTTTGTCTAGAACAAATTAAATGATGCTTTAGCTGGACCTGTGGAGGGTCTTTTAGATGGAGCTGCTGATGATACGTGGCCAGCAATAAGAAAACTGCTTCAGTGTGAGACTCACACAGGACTCTCTGGGTTTTCAACTGCACTTTCTGGTTTTGAAATGGATGAACAGACAAGGGAAAATATGGTTTTAAGATTGAAGGATTATGCACGTGGAGTGGTTGAAGCAAAGGCGAAGGAAGAGGCCGGAAGAGTTTTGATTCGTATGAAGGACAGGTACCAATATTGGTTATCTTGTTCAGAAGTTCTGACATGGGAATATTTTCGATATATAATATATGCTACTGACCTAAAAATCGTTGACAGGTTTTCAATGTTATTTAGCTATGATTCTGATTCAATGCCACGAGTTTGGACTGGAAAGGAAAATATTCGAGCTATTACCAAAACTGCCAGATCAGCTGTATGAATGAGTGAATTAGTTTTACTTTTCTCGGGTTTCTGTTAAGGTTTGAATGTCACATAAATCTCTGTTCTTTTTTATTCGCTCCTCAGTCTCTGAAGCTCCTGTCAGTTATGGCTGCAATTCGTTTGGAAGATGAACGTGATAGCATAGAGAATACACTCAGTGTTGCTCTTTCGGATGGAGGTGCTTCAACCAAGAAAGGCATTGGATCTCCTGATCCTCTGGCCTCTAGCACTTGGAATGAGGTAACTAGCTTAGTCGATAATATGGTTTGTCTTAGAAGTTATTTAATTATAAGAAGAGAAGCACGGTCAAGGAAAAAGGAGAGGCAAGATTTATTCAAGTTATGGCCAAATGACTTCATAGAGTTCATATAATGTGAATATTTTCTTGAACCATCAACTAAAATATCAATTTTTATCAGTCCGATACTATATATACCCCTCTATGCTAACCTTGCTGCTTGGTCTAGCATTTGCATTTAGTTTCCTTTCTGATTTTGGTACTTAGACCTGCATGATCAGAAGTTGCATGCAAAAGTTCATCTCTTCAACTTACACTTTTATTGGGTAATTTTTTTTTTTTTTCTTTTTTCATATCTGACCTTTCATATCCATCATCTTTTCTGATTAACTTTTCGTTGCAGGTCTCTGCATCAAAAACTTTGATCACACCTATCCAATGCAAGTCATTGTGGAAGCAATTTAACACTGAGACTGAATACATTGTTACACAAGCCATTGCTGCTCAGGCACGTTATCTTACATCCTTTGTTTTGAAAGGCATAATTGGGATTCGTTCGGGTCTCGCCTCGGGGCGGAGCACTCGTAAAACGCCCCTGGGGTTCTACGCATCGGCCATCGGGGCGCGTACTGGGCTCGCCTAATAGAACTTTATGCAATTGTATGCAACCAACCTTGTAAATCCTCAAATTTTCTTAATAAATCGTTGACTATTCAAAATTACTTTTTTCATAATCATAAATAATAAGTTGAGAGTATTTTATGTCATAATTAAAATAAAAATTATTGCACGTTATCCACTAAGACTGCTATGATAGTTAATTTAAATAAATCTTTCATTTAAAAAGTATTTATTTATTAACTTTTGTTATGTCGTTACTATATAATAGTCCATAACTTTTTTTATAATTATTTTTTTCACATTTACGAGATACAATACTTATTAATTTAATAGCTCGGTATTAACTAGTAACTATTTACAAATAATTAGTTATCATGGTATTCTATGGTGAATTATGTGTCACTTTTTTAAATTGTTGATACTTAAAAATAAATGATGAGAGAGAATCATATTTAAATTATGAATTATGTTTTTATATAAATTCTCTTTCAAATAGAAAGCATATTAAATAAAAGGAGTATTTTAAGAAAAATATCAAATTATAATATCGAAATTCTTTCAAGATTCATTACTCCTTAAGAGATACATATATGATTTTGTATCGAATATATTACTTTTGATGTTTGAGTTGCAATGACGTTGAAGCTAATTTGCATATTATGATATATGTCATACTTTTTGTACTATTCATAGTTGAATTACAATTTATAAATATTTTAAATAGATTATTTGTTTTAATTTTTTGATGTTAATGTAATATTTATAATTATTTTTTATTTTATACTATCTTAAAATTCTTGAAATCAGTAAAATTTAAAGATCTGTGGGACTTACCCCCCATGTCTCAGGGCTTACGCCTCGCCTCGTCAGAGGTAAAACGCCTCGCCTCACGCTCCCGCCTTTTAAAACGTTGCTTACATCTTGCACATAACTTTGTGCTTTTTAGGACTTCAGTCCTTGTATACTTGATATTTCTTGTCATTAAGGCAGATCTTAAAACTCCAAATAACTTGAAGGTATATGGTGATAGCTGGGAAACTTGCTAAAGAATGGGATTAGGAATCAGTTTAATGCAATTTTGAACATTAAACATCAGAGATTTGATATTTGTGTACCAAAGAATTTGAGGGGGTGGGCCGGGGGATACCTTTCAGTACATTTGAATCAAACAATTGAAAGGAGTAATCAGTGGCTTAAGAAAAGTTCCAGATTCGACTCATGTTGCCCTATTGCTTTTCGATTTGATTCCAACGATTCACTAAGACTGTATATTGTATGTTAACATAGTAGTTTCTCTTAGCATGTGTTATGACTTCTCTATTTGATATAACCATCAACATAAAAAATTTCTCTTCAGGGTTGTAATATTGATAGAGTCCTTTGTGCTTAGCTTCTGACCATCCGTTCTTTTTAACTTTCAGGAGGCTAACAGGAGAAATAACAATTGGCTGCCACCTCCATGGGCAGTTGTCGCATTGCTTATTCTGGGTTTCAATGAATTCATGACACTGTTGAGGTACCATTTCCTAAATCCTACTTATGGATCATGAGTAGGAGTGGCAAACGGGCGGGTCGGGTTGAATATGGTTCGGGACGAAAACAGGTAATGAAAAAACGGATAAATTATCCGACCCGACTCATATTTAATATGGATAAAAAACGGGTTAACTGGCGGATTATATGGGTAACCATATGGGTAACCATATTATCCATGACTTCTTGCATATGATAACTTTTGGAAGAGTTCTTAGTCTCCCTAACTTGAGGAATCCCAATTTGAGGCTGTACAAATGTACAAGTTAGACCCATTGGTTATCCATTTTCTAAATGGATAATATGGTTCTTATTCATATTTGATCTGTTTTTAAAAAGTTCAGTATTCAATCCATTTTTAATGGATAATATGGGTGGTTAATTGTTTTCTTTTAACCATTTTATCACCCCTAATCATGAAGTAAGGGTGTCAAATGGGTTAATTGGGTTCGGATTGCGCGAGTCAAAACAGTTTTAAAAAGAATGGCTGTGACCAACTCATTTAAAATTTGTTTGGGTCAACTATATATTCAATAGCAGGTCATAACCCAACCTGCCCACTTCTCTCTTTGTTGTTAGAATTGGGTAAAAGTTTCTCTATCCATTTTGTTTTCTTTTTCTAGCTAGAATTGAGTAATGTACTTTTAGTTTAGGCCTTGAAACGGAGGTTGAGATTAACTTGTTAGTATATACTCTTTTAGCCCATTTCAATCCAACGCTTTGACGCGTCAATTTGGTTTCAACTCATGTTGACCGATCTTGAATTGTATTCCTCACTGAACATGTGATCTTTGTGCGGGTTAACAAAGTAGTAATTTTGTCCCTCTCAGTCATGATAACCCTTAGTTTGACGAATAGATGCATTTTTATCCATTTGATGATGGGGTGTATCCACTGTGATCACATAGCTCATGTTGGTTTTTTACTCTTTTCAGAAATCCTTTGTATTTGGGAGTCATATTTGTTGCCTTTCTACTAGTGAAAGCCCTCTGGGTGCAATTGGACATCTCGGGCGAATTCCGGAATGGCGCTGTAAGTGTTGAATATGATTTGTTAAAATTTCAGTTTTTGTTGCATTAGAAGCATTTGACCAAATAACAGTATGAACTCTTGGCCTTTGCTCATTCATAAAATCTTGTTGGTAAACTTCCTCCATTGTCCTAGAGTATGACACTTCCTACCATTTTTGCAACTTTCTAGAATTCTGTTGAGCCAAATGTGTATCAGAAACAACCTCTCTATTTTAGTGTACACACTAAGTGTACTTAATACACCTATATAGGGAATATTAGGGTTAACTAATAACCCTTTTGGGCCTTAGAGCACCCCTTATGGGTGGACCCAATATTTCCAACATCCAGGAAGGGTAAGGTGTGCGTACACACCACCCTCCTCAGACCCCACCAGTGGAATTATACTGGGTTGTTGTTGTTGTAAAAGTTCACGCAGAGCTAAAATTGCCAACACAAATAAGTTGTAACCTTTCAATGGCATTTCGATTCATCATAATCTTGGGAATGTTTTATGTGGGCTTTCAGGAGTTATTTTCTAATCTAGTCTGCTAAAATGAAACACATTCGTACCTTCCTTTCTATTCTGCTACACTTCTTCTTCTTCTTCCCGAGCCGAAGGTCTATTGGAAACAACCTCTCTACCTTCATTAGGTAGGGGTAAGGTCTGCGTACAGACTACCCTCCCCAGACCCTACCTGTTGGGAATATAGGGGTATGATGTTGTTGTTGTTATTATTGTTTAAACTTGGACGAGAGGGATCTATACATGAATCAATACCCATGGGACATGTGTGATTGCTGCACTTCCATTTCTTCCATTACAATGTGGAGAACTTCTAAAATAACAATCTCTTTGTTACCTGGTTTTGGTACATGTGTCGGCAGCTTCCTGGACTTCTCTCTTTATCCACAAAGTTCCTTCCTACAGTCACGAATCTTCTTAGACGACTAGCCGAGGCAGGCCAAAGGAAGGCGAATAATGAACCTCAACATAATACTACTCCTGCATCAAAGAGCTCCCGCGGTACAACTGCTTCATCTGAAGTGACTTCAGTAAACAGAGGGGAATAATATAAGCCCCTTAATTCATGACAAAATGAAGTAAGCATCGTTGGTTCGGCTGAACCTAAGTGATTTGGGGTCGAACTTTATATATGCGCAAAAAGCGAATATGGATAGAATTAGATATGCAGAACTCACAGCATCTAAATTTTGGATCCATGGCGGGAAGTAAGTCATGTTTATAGAGCATTCTTCTTATTTGTGGCAACAAGTTTTTATGTTTATAAGATGGTTTGTGCTGCAGAATCTGCTTGATGGCTTTCACTTTCAAAAGAAAGCATGTGAACAATAAGAAAAATGGAAAGAGTTGATTTTTGTGTAGGACATATATACTGAGATATGGTTTGTGTTGTGGTGTAAACTAAGAGTGTTCTCCATGTTTTTTCTCTTGTTTGCCACCAATTTTGTCTTTCATCAAGAAACTATAAGTCACTGATGGAAGATATATTCTGTATTTAATGAGATGGATTATCTTCTTTCTGGTTTTGTAATTTATATGGAAGAGGAAGACTACGTAACTTGTATTTCATTTTTGAGATTCTTTTTCATTTTTTCTTTGGCCAAAATGTAAAACTGGTTGCTCAGCTGAAACTAATTGCATTCACTAGCTCAAAAGTATATAAAATATGTGTGTATTATATATATATACACACACCAAAAATATATATTTTGTTGGCATTATATATTTCTATTTTTTTTTTTGTGGGGGTTGGGGGGTTTG